CGTGAACTATACAGACATTGCACAGCGGAAAATATGGAGCCAATCTAAATTTCAGGATGCAGCAGAAATACCTCCCACATATACCTTCCAGAAATACCTCCCACATATACCTACTATAAATACCTCCCACATATACCTTCCACAAATACCTTACACATATACCTACTATAAATACCACCTACATATACCTCCCACATATAACTTCCAGAAATACCTCCCACATATACCTCCCAGAAATACCCCCCACATATACCTTCCAGAAATACCGGCCACATAGACCTACTAGAAATAACTCCCACATATACCTACTATAAATACCTCCCACATATACCTTCCAGAAATACCTCCCACATTTACCTTCCAGAAATACTTCCGACATATAACTTCCAGAAATACCTCCACCATATCCCTTCCAGAAATACCTCCGACATATAACTTCCAGAAATACCTTCCACACATACTTTCCAGAAATACCCCCCGCCACATATCTTCCAGAAATACCTCCGACATATAACTTCCAGAAATACCTCCCACACATACCTTCCAGAAATACCTTTGACATATAGCTTACAGAAATACCATCGCCATATACCTTCCAAAATACCTCTCACATATACCTTCCAGAAGTACCTCCGACATAATGGCATGATATTAGATGAAGATACCATTGCCACTTTCCTAAGTTCATTGGCACCAAGTTCAAAAAGACATTGATAACCGAATCAAGGCATCCCACACAGCATACGGGAAGTTATTCAAAAGAGTCTTCGGCAATCCTGGACTAACACAAACCACCAAGCTATCGAATTGTGGTAATCTCGCCTCTGCACGCTGTGAGACTTGAGTACTCTACCGAAGAGATCGCCGTAAACTTGAAACATTCCATCAAATGAAACTTCGTCAGACCCTGCGGAACACGTGGCAGGACCGAATCACGAACAACGATGTTCTCTTCCGCGCAAAGATAGAAAGCCTAGAAACCATCATGACTCGCCAACGACTTCGATGAGCCGGAACCCCTTGCCCGAATGACAGACACCCACCTACCCAAACAAATCCTCGTCTCGGAGCTCACATCTGGCAAGAGAGCTCGTGCGGCCCCACGTCATCGATTAGAGGAACATTGCTGAGGACAGAAGATCAGGAGATGGGAGACGGAAGCTGCAGAAAAAAAAAAACAATTGGAGTAGAACAGTTCACGAGAAAAGGACATCCTTCGAAAATACCGGAAGACAAATAGAAAGGAGCCCAAAGAAAAGGCAGAGCACTCTATACCTTGAAACATTCTACTCTACATTGATATATGGCTGTGGACGTCTCTTCAGGTTCAACATAGGACTCATTTCACGCAGAAGGAAATGTCTATGAGCCCACCAATACTGGGCATCGGGATGTGTATGTGGGAGGCATTTCTGGGAGCTATACTTACGAGTTATTTATGACACCCTGTGTAAGTAAAACAATACTCATACATTAGAGCTTAAAGTTTCATCTGGACACTTTGATGTTGATGCTGTTGTCTCACAATAAAGAACTGAGTATTTCGTCATGAGTATATATATATATATATATATATATATATATATATATATATATATATATATATATATATATATATATATAGAGAGAGAGAGAGAGAGAGAGAGAGAGCTAAAAATGGGACCGGATGGAGTATAATTCCACTGTCCGTAACATTTAATTTAAAAGACGGCTTAATACTGTTTCGAACTTTATTTTCGGATATTAAAAGAAAACATGTTAAAATCGCCATGTTTTTTTTAATATCGAAAAATAATACACACACACACACACGCGCGCACACACACACACACACACACACATATATATATATACACACACACACACACACACACACACACACACACACACACACATATATATATATATATATATATATATATATACCAATTTGTAATTGGTAGGGATAGTTCGAAGGAGGATATTAATCCAGAAAGAGCTCAATGTAAACTATAGAGCATAATGATAATAATAATAATAATAATAAATCAAGAAGAAAAACTTAAAGATGCATTTCGGTTATAAATTATTTCGGGAATGTCATTATATATTCATAACTTTAGACCGAAAATGGTGACAATTTGCTGTATAACACGATGTACAAAGATCGACACTTTAAGGAAAAAATCTTGGCCGGGTCATTTTATTTTAGGCTTACTACTATCCACCCATCTCTTCCTTCTTCCCTTTCCTTTCTTTACCCTCTCTCCCTTTCCCTCTATTTCATATTTTAAAGAGAACTTTACAATCACTCACATTCCTTCTTGCACCCCTTCTCTTCTCTCTTGCTTTCCTTTCGATCTAGGATATCATTGCGGAGGAATTGTCTCAGTTTATTAAAAGCCTTCGGCTGAAGAGATGAATATATAGAGACATTCAGGAAATAAATTATAAACGAAATGGATCTTTAAGTTTTTCTTCTTGATTTATTATATATATATATATATATATATATATATATATATATATATATATATAAAATTCACAATAAAGTTCAAAATTACCTATATAGAGATAGACCTATTTCAACCGACGAAAAAAAATCATCGTCAGTCTTATTCAACTTCTGTATTCGACTTCTGTATTCTTGTCCGAATTAGAAATTTAACTGTAGCAGCTGTCGAAAAATGAATACAGAATTTATAGATAAGACGGAGGGTACGAGGCAGTGGTCAGAGGGTGGAAGGTATTAGCCTTAAAGGGGAGAGGTTTTATAAAATTAAACCCGCATATCAATCTTATGGTATTAAATTGGGGTTATATGAAGATGAAGTATTAATTTGAGACTAATAGATGAATGAAAAGGGAGATTATAGATTGGATTATATGCCAACGGATTTATTACCTTTAATATATATATATATATATATCCAGATATGGGATAAGAAAAAATGAAGTATAATTCAATTGTCTGTAGAATTTATTGCTGTTTAGTCGGCATTAACAATATTTTGTATGAATTTATTTTTTATTTTTTATTTTTAGACACTTACGTTGCATTTACTGGTTTCATAAAGAAGCCTTTTTATTATCAACTATAAAATATATGTTACAATTAGCTATAGATTTGATTATTTTCCTACTCCTCCCCTGAGCTTCTTATAAAACTGAACAAGTTACATTTGTTTCATAATTATGATACATGGTTGCTATTTGCTTATAGTTTGTATTAATTTCTTGTCTGCCACTCATGACCTTGTCTAAGATTATATCTTAAAGCATATTTTACCATGATCAAAATTCCTCCTTTTTTTTAGGTTATTTTTGAATTTAGCGTAAGTCTGACACATAACTGTTTAATCAGAGTAAAGAAACAAGTCTGATTCTAATTTTTAATTCGTTGTTATCTCGTTCTTCTCTTCTCTATCGAAAAAAGAGGGAGTATTCTGCTTTTGAAATTTAAAAATAATTATTTATTCAATAATTATTTACCATTCCCTGAGGAGGCACAACTTTAGGGCCGAAACATGAAAGTTATTGTATAGCGATTTTGTTTTTGTTTTCATCTCATATAATATATATATATATATATATATATATATATATATATATATATATATATAAGGCAGGATGTGTGTGTGTTTGTGTGTGTGTGTAACGAATGCACGCCCGCAATTTCCGACGGATTTGCACCAAAATTTACATGCACATGCTCCGAGTTAGCGGGAAGCCCAAGACCGACTTTGCATTTCCCAACTCCCATCGATAGTGGAAATAATCAATTTTTTCATGCTTCTACGGCAGTTTTCATGTAGTTTGCGGCCATTTTGTGCTGGTCAAAGTGAGAGCCTATAGCTGGCTGCCACGAATAGGCAGGAAGATTCTATTGCCCAGCGTGAGAGCTAACAGCTGACTGACACGAATGTTAACTAACATGCTAGCATGCAAAAAAAAAATCGACAGCTGCATTTGTCACAAGTGGGAAAAATTTAAATCTGTATGGCACTTCACCCCAATTGGCTCATTCGCTTGCTTAAACTCAACGTTGATTCTGATTCCGCAGAACTGGGTTGGGTGTGAAAAAGTATTTGTTATTAACATTCTTTTTTCATTCAGTTTTCCAGTTACGGGTCCTTTTTTTTTTTAAGCTGATCGTTTTGTGTTCATTTTTGTTTAGTTCTTTTTTTTCGTAACAGATTTAATGTTTAGTATAGAGCTTAGAAAAAATCGCAGTGTGAGATAGGCAAGAAGTAAGGTATGTAGCAACATCAGCACGGCAAAGGGCACTCCTTTAAAGGCAAGGAAGGGCAAAATATTTTTAAGTGATATCGATTGCTGTATGAGTCGTACGATTTTTGAATCAAGAACGGGCAACGCCAGGCCATGCTGTTAGTATATATATATATATATATATATATATATATATATATATATATATATATATATATATATGTGTGTGTGTGTGTGTGCGCGCGCTCTAGCACATCTATCGACGACGCCCAGGGTTCCGTCTACCCAATTTTACCCACAAGGCTTGGGTCAACCCGTAGTATGGTTGTCAGGCACTTTCAAAAGGTACCGCACGCTGGGATCGGCCCCTTCAGTCCGATAACATCAGGAAGTATTCTTCCTGACAAATCGACCATGGTGAGTTTCGAACCAGCGTCTCATTGTCAGAATGCGAAGTCACAAGTCATCGTGTCCGAGGGCTTGAGCCTGCAGGCCATGTTCAAATTTTTGATCACGCTAGATAACACGCTCTTTCCCACAAACTGTAACTAAGGTCTGATCGTCATAGCCGCAGTATAAACCACAGGTGGGCTCTGTGGATGTTGAATAAACACAAGGCGAATTGTTGATTTGTAGATCTGGAGGATCGACTCCGGGGAGAAAAACTTCCTGGCGCGGCTCAGGGAGCCAACTTTCCTTGCGGTGGACGAGGAAATTGACTCAATGTATTTATTCCATCTCAGGTCAGCAGTCAACGTGAGACCGAGAAACAGTCTACCGAGCTCTTCAAA